TTTCAGCACTAGGGTGTTACAGTTACTCCTTTGTCATTGATGTCTTGTCCCACTGAATGCCTTTTGTTCAAATCTAATGGAAATTATTTTGCAATTCTTGAGTTTGGATCTAATGCTTATTTGCTTAATTTTTCATTGAATGTTAGTATTAGTCTAGATTTTTATTTGGAGGACATGCTACTTAATCGAGATACTCCAGATCCTCCTATTTTGTTATCCAGTGTTTCTATAGGTGAAATTGTTTCTTCCTCAGCACTGGCTCTAATTCTTATCTTTTCACTTCAATTGCATATTTCGGGCCAAATAGATGATGTGCTATGTGACCAAATTTATATTGCTACAGATGGAGATTCTTGCATTTATTCTTATCGATGGAAAGATATTGGTAGTTCTTTCATTCTAGATGATGCATTATGTCATCTTCATGCTGCTCTTTTAGGGTACTTCTGATTTGAAGACTCTCTGGAGGAGAGTTTTTCTCAACCAAAGGAGAATGATGGGGATCGTGTAGGAATTAGATATATATTATATATTAATTATGATAGTTATTTAGATATTTTTAATATTTATCTTTTAAGTAATTTCTTTTAACTTGTGAGAGTTTATTTGTCATTATTTATTTGTTTTAAGTTTTAGTTTCCATATATAAAGGGATGCATGTAAGAGTTTTATTTAGATTAGACTTTGATTATTATTGAATACTGATTTTGCTTCATTCTCAAATTCTTTCTCTTTTCTCATCATTTTCTTCTTTTCTTCTCATCCATACTTTTTCTTCTCTTCTCATCCCTAATACTTATTCTCTTCTCATCCCTAATTCTTCCCTTCATAGTCCACATCATCGGAGCTCCCCATGGTTTAGTAAAAAAGAGGGGATATTTTCTCTTCATTCGGGGTTCTCATTTATTATGAACTCAAAAGTGTAAGACTGATTAGTGAAATCTTAAAAATGTCATACAATGAATGATCGACTATTCCATTTGTGCTTTCAGCATATCGGTGATGCAAATATATGGTTTCTATGTTTTAATTGGATACCAATTGCTTGGACGTCTTTGAAAGCCTCAAAATGACTTGTAGAAATAATAGCTATTTTCTTAAGAATAGAGATAAGGAAGGGAAATAGTATGGCTCTGGTGTAAAAAGGAATACCCCAAGATTGGTCTACGATCAACTGTATTAATGCATATCTTTTGACACTAACTATATTCTATATTAAAATCAAAAATTTTTTAGAAAGAGAGAGACATCAACTCATCTATGTTAGATATGCTGACGATTTTTTTTATTGTAAAAAAAGGGAGGGGCGCGATAAAGATATGAATATATTACCTTGACAACTATCTATGTCACATTCTCTTACCTTGCTACTAAATCTCTAAACCATTGAACTTAAACCTAACCTTTTGATTGATGTGGGAAAATGAAGGGATCAGACCAGTAGCATATGTAACTATATTAAAGGACTAGATTACTAGCATGCCATTTAAAGACATTTGAGTGCCATTAGCTACAAATGCAATAATAGATGAGGAGAGATAATAAATACAAAAAAGGAAGAATCACAAGTCATGTGATGTATGACACTCGAGTTAAAGACACAAGCGGTCTGATATATACCTGAAGGACCTAAAGTGAATGAACCTTTCGAGAGATATGTTGTAAAAGCACCAGGTTGATGGAGAGAAGCTTTTGCAATTGATCAACAATCAAAATTAGATTAGGAGCTGATGAGGAGGACTCATCCCCTGGTGATGCAATTGTTGTTATGTGACTCTTTTTTGGGCTTAAATTGTTGATTTAGTGACCCCCTAACATGCATATTCAACTCAATCCCGATACTTATTTTGTGAATTAGAAGTCACTTGAGGGTACAATCAATATAGTATGATTACGCAATGAGAGAAGACTCTTCCTAAAAAGGGTCTTAAGACGGACTTCTTCAGCTAAAAACTCATTCACCATTGCATCGGAAATGGACAGCGATGGAGAGTCGAAACACGAAATCCCTTAAAGTCAACTTTGAGTGCCATCAAAAACTATACCAGCCGCTACTTCTCTCTAAATGTGCTATATACTTTATGAGTAGAACTCTTGTATATTCTTATCACCTCAGTGAGCAGCACAAATTTCATGCTCCAGCTAATACCTCTTTGCATAGTTGGACTAAACAAACAATATAGCTAAATAATTCAAAATTTCTTTGGTTGTGTTAAACTTAACCAAAAGAACACCAATAGTCGAATTAACTTAGCAGTTAATCCAAGTAATGATTTTAGGGCTGTTGATTTCCCAATTGTTCTTTAAATTAGTGTACTCCGTGTCCTTAGGATCTGTTGGAGCTTGCAAAATACCAATAATATAAACCCAATAAGAATTTTGTCATATAACATTATACTAATAACTTGAAGAGAATTGCAGTTTTTACTTACCATAATTTCAACAAAGGAGTCAAAACCCACAATAAAATAATGAAAAATTTGGAGGCCGGTCCCCCTATATGAACTTGTTTAAACTTAAGGCTGTCAAGGAAACTTATTTGTTATGAAGTCCATTTTTTGTCAATTTTACCATACTATCTCTTCCCTTTAGAAGTGAAATAAAATTTAAAATTAAAAACTCCTAAATCTTAGGGGTTTGACTAATATTAAAACCTGTTCTCTCTCATATCTATCCATATCCATATATAGATTAAGAGTTTGATTAACATTAAAATTTTTCCTCTCTCTTATCTATCTATATATAGGTTATATATATGTATGTGTGTGTGTATATATATATATATATCATTTGGACACAAAAAATAATACATTTAAACACAAAAAATAGTAACATTTAAACATAAAAAAAATTGAAACATTCAATATTAATATTTTTAAAAAATAACAATAGTAACATGTTCAACAAAAATATTAATATGTTCAACAAAAATAGTAACATGTTTAACAAAAACTGTAACATACTTAACAATAATTGTTTCTCTCAAATTCAAACTCAAAAAATAGTACCATTAAATATAAAAAATAGTAATATTCAAAAAAAAATTAGTAAGATTGAATATTAATATTTAGGAAAATAATAGTAGTAACATGCTCAAAAATAATAGTACTAGAACAGTGGCATACTCAATAAAAACAGTAACATAATAAAAAAAATAGTAACATGAATTTGAATTTTACTGTTCAAATTCATAGTAAATTTTTTTTGTATTTGAATGTTTCTATTTTTTTTTAATGCTACTATATATATATATATAGATAAGAGAGAGAAATTTTTTTTAATGTTAGTCAAACTCTTAATCTATATATGGATATAGATAGATATGAGAGAGAAAAAATTAACTTCTTTTTTAAGGAAGAGTATTTTTAAAATAAAAAACAAAAAGTAGACTTAAGTCATTACATATAATTTTAAACATGGACTTAGTCACTTATAAGTTTCCTTGTAGGACTTATCTCCAAACAAATACATCTAATGGGACTCACTTCTAATTTTCACTAAAATAATAGTTGAATCAACAATTATCAACCAGTCCAATAACCAAGAATAAGATACCAGCTCAAAAGCCCAACACCCAAATCAAGCAGTCCCATACTCAAACTATAACAACTAGGGGTGCAACTTGGGTTGGGCAACCCAAATTCAACCCAAAAAAATTAGGGCTTGAGAAAGAATTTTTAAAACTTGGGTTGAGCTTGGGTCAAAAAACTCAAACCCGAATTCAATTTGGATTGGGTTCGGGTTCACAGGTTCAACCCGAACCCGACAAATTAAAAAAAAATTTAATATATATATAAAGCATTGACACTGATTTTTTATTTTGTTCTATAGTTCTTTGTCTGTCTAAAATATTCATTTTTATTTTTGTTCTAGCATTAACACTGTTAAAAATTTGGTTAAAGTTATTGGTTATTAATTTAGGTGAATATTATGTAATATATGTATTAGGTTTACAACAACAAATCTATTTTGGGCTCTACTCGAATTCAACTCGAATTGAATCCGTAAAGTAACCTGAAATCAACCCGAAATCAATAATTCAAATTCAACTCGAACCCACCCAAATTAAACTCAGGCAATACTCAGGTTGAGTTCATTGACCTGAGGTAAAGTTAGGGTTAAAGATTATATATCTAGGGTTGGACTAGGGTTAACCGCCCAACCTGCCCGAGTTACGCCCCTAATAACAACATGCAACACACCCAAAAACATATATTTTTGATGACATCAATAGTGAAATTATCATGCAAAAACATTCAAAATTGTCATGGTCAACTGTAAGCGAATATATGCAAAAACTTCAAAAATGTCCACCTTGATATACTAATGTTCCTGACAAGATGTGAAATTCACAAGATTAATCACGCTTCTCAACGTAAAATTTCTCCCAATCGTTATTTTAGTCTTTAAAGCATTTTTTTTTTGTCAATTCATCTACTACCATTCCACAAAATGGCTAGATTCAAATCCAACAAATAATGATCAATAACATTTTCTAGGAAAAAAAAAAAAGACGCAATGGACTTGGTGATAAAATGACATTTTCTATAAAATATTTTTTTCTTAACAAACTCAGATGAATTAGAACTTGTCGAAAGTTGGGGGGCCAACACGATTTTAAAACAAAATGAACATAACCCAATTGATCACCTCGATTCTTTAGAAGATTTTACCAACCAAGAGGTCAGTGGATCAATCATCTACCCCCTCTTCAAGGGTTCACTTGTGCTTCATTGGAGCTTCTCTTATCCATGTGCGGGTGATTGTAATAGTGATCAGCAGCAGCAAAAGTATGTAAAAAAATGTGCCTAACATCCCCTCTATGCCAACCATAAAAGGTACAGACGTTAACAAGAAAACAACCCCATTTCTAGTGCCTACTCACATTACAATATGATACACCAGAGTTTTGTGTCCAGAGGCTAGTACAATACAACATTAATGATTAGAGCCAAGCCCCTCCAAATTCATCCAACAATGGTATAAATTTTCCAGCGACATTACATCTCATTATTGATAATATCCCGCATCATCTGTATTGGGATGAGTCCTTCAGTTCGAATTGCATCTTTATTTGGATCTGGACTGATGAAATACACAGTTGGCAATCCCCGAACCTGCACACACTTAGTAAACTGATTTAAAATTTCTAACACCATTAGTGGCAAAGCCAGGATTTTCATTAAGGGGTACCAATAAACAACGCTAACCTCTAGTGTTCGTTTTAGTTTAATGGAGTTTACAAAATTAAACTTCATTAAATAACTTGTATAACTTCTTTTTTTTCCCGTCTTGTGGACAAACATAACTTCTGTTGTGGTCAAAACAATGTTAATATTCTAGATTACAAGACAAACACAACTTCGGTTGTGGTCAAAACAATGTAAATATTCTAGATTTCAAGACAACCGAACATTTATGTGTTTAAGTTACTACAATTATCAAACATAGATTATCCTGGTATAACTTATTTCATGTCTTGTCCAAACTGTAACTTAGGACATATGCAAGGTTCAAAATCCAATATTCTCAAAAGTTTTGTAACATATTGATTGGATTCATTGCAAGAAAAGAACAAACTAGCAGGCATGTAAAACATTTAAGTTGAATAAATGTGACTAATCATCAAATAAGTAAAACTACATAGTCGAATCTCCAATGGTGTTCCCTTTTTCCTGAATTATCAAAATTTAGCTTTAGCAAATCATTTTTTTCTTTTGCTTCTTTGAATTAAATACTGAACTCATTGCCCCACATATTTCATCATCCTTATATATTGAAGATTCAACCTTCGGGGGTCGAATGACAAACAGATTTCGAAAACAAATTTCAACTTTGGACATTCTAAATAGGCACTAATATTTTTTACAATTTCAGTGGGGGTCAATTGATCACATTCTCTAAGATTTGGCTCCACCCATGAGCAATCTATCAGGCTATCACTACAATCACAAAATCACATTTCACATCCCATGGGTAATGTAGGAAAGAACATATGTTTCAAAGTTCCTTTCATCACACAGAAACATTTCCAAGGGGGAATATGGCTACAAACAGTATCAAGATGATATAGGTTTGTCACTTCACATCAAGATGAAGCACAGGAACAAAATCCTTTTGAGTGTTCAGAGAACTTCTTTCTCAAACAATGCATGCCATTATGGATAAAATTGGACTTGAAAAATGTTCCCAACAAATTGTATTCAATGTAACAAACAGAGCAAAAGATTAAATAAAAGCAAGTAATAATCAGCAGTGGAAATTACCTGCATATCGCGTGCAAATTCATATTCATCATCCGTGTCAACCTTCACAATTAATGCATTACTCTCATATTCTACCGCAAGCTGTGCAATGATTTGAAGGTTAGAAATAAAATCAAAAATCAAAGAGACAATGAACTCAATGTCAATGGCTTCAACAACATCAGAATCCCTTGCTATTGTGCATTTAAGAAAAAAACTTTTGTAGTCTACCTGGCTTCCTAAAAACCCAGTAAAGTAGGTTTTGCAAATTAAATGGTAAACATTATTCACTCATATGACATCACACCCAGCAAAAGATCATTACAAGCACAGTATTGAATCGTTAAGCAAGTATTCCTCCTGGGTTTACTTGGCCCCAACAATTAAGTAGTAGCTGCAAGGGAGTCATGGCACTTCACTAAAGTGAACTGAGTTTAAATACTGTCAAGAAGCTAAATTTAGTCTTCCTATGGAGGACGGACAAATTAATTGGTTAAGTGAAAGTTCTACCTATGGAGGATGGACAACTTAATTGGTTAGAAAGTGCTTTCACTTAAGTCAAATTCAATGCCAGCATAGATGATAAAGGTTTTCTTTTCCCATTAGTCATTTCCATCTTTCTTCATTCACCCAAAGTTGCTGATCTCAAAACCTCAACTTGCTCTCACGCTTGGCAGCCCAAGTTTTTACCATTGTTTGCAGCTTTTACCCAGTTTCTTTTATTCCCAAGAGAAAAAGAAAAAAAAAGAATGCATCAATATACTTGTCTCATGACCTTTTCTCAGGACATCATTTTGATAACAACAAATGATGCCCGAGGAAAAGTAGGTTTGACAAAAGTCTCATCGAAACATACACTTCTATCTTGTATTTGAAGTGAAGCCATCAAACTGGTATTTCCTGTACAAAATACTGTTTGTCCAACTTGTGGGTTCTGTCCACGTCATTCAAGCAATTACTTCAATAATGTAGCTTAACATTGCAGTCATGGAGACACCTGACCCAGAATATCTAGGTCATTGACACACTTCTGGTCTCCTCTTACGTTGTTTTGAGACTAGCTACTTGATTTCTAGCCCATGGAGTTGGCATCACACAGCCACACAGCGCTTACAGTGAACGATTGAATATCTACTATAAAAACAACACCAATTTACATTAAACTCTTGCACAACAAAACAAAGAAAATAAGTGTGGGATACAGTTACACTATGGTGCATACCATCATGTGCTTCAAAGAGTAGTACTACCACTTGCTAATCTCTTTTTTTACAAAGGAAATCACTTTCTCTTCAATATTTTGCTCAAGATTAATCAGGCTGCTAACTCCATTTCTATTTCCCTGAAACTAGCATCCCCAAAAAACAAAAGAAAAGGCCAGTCCCATTTGATATTAAAGGTAATAGTTATCCTGTTCCTCAGGCTCAGGTTTAGTTTTACATATATTTCTTTTGACTGCAGCAAGACGCTAGCTACAGAAATAAATTTCTTTTATTTTTTCTGAATCTTATCTTAAATGGTTGTCATGAGAACTTTGTTCACTGAAAGAGAAAAAGATTCAAGGTATGACTGTTAAGAATCCATATAAACTTTTACAATAGACTAAGAAACAGCAGAACACAATTTTCAATGATGACGCAGTTTCCACTTTTTAAGCCCCGTTTTTATTGGCTACCTCAATAAAATAGATTGGTTGTCTGTTAGAGCTTGTCCCACATTGGTACAATCATACTCTTACATTGATATTGTAACGCCTCTCGAACTAACTTATGAGCCACTAGCCCTCTCCACTCACTACAAATTGATATTGAGTTAGATGATCTAACATCTCGTTGACTGATTTCACACTCACAACTTAAAAGCAAAGTAACAGCCAAACTTGACTTTAAAGATGACATTCATATTTCCTTTCCTACTACTATCCCCATTAGTAACAGACAGTTTCCATTATTTTCCCACCCAATAAGGACTATTTTCAAAACATTATACAATACCTGAATGCAAAATTCATCATCAGTTGCAACAGAATCTATTGTCCCTGCACAAGTATTGGGAAGGCTCTTTGCTACTACCAGCATTATGCTAGTTTTATTCTCAGGAGCTAAGTGATGCCCCTGTGACTCAGCCTATGATGAGAAGACGACAAACTGGGGACAGTACTCTAACGTCTTATCAATTTTCTTAGACTTATCTGAGTACGACGTACAATTGCTTTGCTGCAAGTAGCAGTAAGAAAAAGTATAGAGGTGTCAAGATTGCTGCGAATTGAGCCTGTCACTGAGGAAAACGTAGCAGCAATAAGATGGAATTTTCTTTTCAAACGACCAAGAATAAACAAAGCATCACCATCTGTGTAGAAAATTACATTCATCCACTCAAGTGAGGTAGATTGCAAACAGCTTCTAGCATACGGCTACAAAGAGCCATGTGACACGGATTATTACGTAATATTAAATCCTAAGGCGGATGGGCATGTTCATCCCTTGGAACTGCTTGGCTCTCTTCACAACACCACCATTAACTCAATGAAAGAAACATCTTCTCCATGGGTTCTTGAGGAAGAAGCCTATGATTTGATCATTAATCTCCAAACATTTTTATTTTGTATTCTATTGATTTCATCACAGAAACGAAGAATCATTGAATCATTGTTATTGCTTTAAGAGAATTCTTGTTCACAATCCATATTTACACTACAATGGTACTTCCATTAGCGGATACTTTTTCTTTCCATTGGTGACATATTTACCAATCGAAGTTTATTTTTCCCTTTAGACCATCATTGTTTATTCCAAATTTATGGCTAAAGATCTTGGTACCTAAGATTCCTTTTTTTTTTTCCTGATAAGTGTCCTTAGCATTACTTCATACTGTTCAAAGGCCTTATATTCTTCAGAAGCATTGTTTCTCCCTCAGAAAGTAAGAAATGATCTTTTGGAAGGAGTGAAAGAGTTTCCTCTCTGGATCCAAGGAACCAATGTTTCACCAAGATATGTTAAACAAGTAAGCTTCCTGTAGTTCAAAATCATCTCAAAGATCTTACTCTCTTTTGAGGCTGTTAATAATTACCTCCTTTAGAAGCTTAGGCTAGTAAAGAGGGTAGAAACTTATGAATCCGTATCACAACCCAATGCCCTAACATGTGGCCATACTCCAAGTAATAGTGGGCCAAATCCAATTGTGTATTAAAATTTTCAGTGGTCAACAAGATTCAAACATAGGACCACTTTGTTCTTATACCATGTTAACACCTCGGCCTAAAATGCTAGAGAGGGAGGGTTCACATACATATCTATGCCATCAACAGAACAATTACATGACACTAAAATTAAACACTCACACTGATTGCTATCATCATTAAACCATCCATCAACATAAAGGTGCCTACAACTAATTAGAAGCATCGTTTTTTTTTTTTGGAGACTTTAGTACTTTATGTGTGTTCAATGATGCAACCTATGCCAGTGCCTGGATACGCACCATTCAATCACCATTATCCAATTTCTTTCAGCTCCAATTTTACAGCCTTGGCGTATAAGAGATTGAAGCTTCTGAATCATTGCTTTGTGAAGTGTCCAGTAAGACCAGCAAAAGGGATCTAATTTCCAATTGCAATAGCTATGATAGTTCCCTCCAATAGCCACAGTAGTCTTTCTAAAAGGAAAAGATTGGGGAGGATTAGAGTTT